TACTAACTATCCCCTCTTATGCAGAAACTTCTACTTTGACACATATTCTACTTTGATGTGGCTGGGGTTGGTTGCCTGCCTGTGGTTGGATGGCTAGGTCTGATTCGCAAATCCTATGGTTGCCTGTGTAACAACCCAAAAATCCACACACCAAAAATACCAACTATAAAATTTTTCTCAAAACTTCCATGTGATGATGAGTGTCATGTATAGAAACCCAACCTAAGAGATGCATTAGGTCTAACCCCAATCCAAGTCAACACATAAGCATGGCATGTCATTTGTTAACTGTGTTTAATTAAATTCTAACAAATAAAGTATTGCATACATTGTTAATTCAAATTGTGATTTGGATTTCCATTTGCTTTATGTTATGCTTAACAACTCCATTAAAGTAATAAACCATAAAGTAATTATTAATCGAATCAAAAGAATAAATGTTTAAGGAGAAAACTAACCCTATTTTTGTATAACAAAACCACATCTATTTTTGTTATACAAAATAGCTAAACAAAATTCCCTAAACTCCAATAAATAGGTTACATCAATTTTGAATTCATAATTCAAACCAAATTTGAATTCAAACAAAAGGAGAAGAAATGAAAAAAAAACAGAAAAAGCAAAACGAAAAGAAGAAGGAAGCCTCGCTGTGGCCCGGGCCCGCTCGGCTTCACAGCCCATCTAGCCCCACCGCGCCAACCGGCCTGCCAACCGCGCCCGCCTTCACCCAGCGCGCGCGCGCGGCCCAGCTTGCGGCCCAGCACACATCGCCCACGCCCGCACGTCCTCCGCTCGCTTGCCGTCACTGCCGCCGGACCCCACGCGTCAGCCACACGTCGCCCACGCCCGTGCGCCTCTCCGCTTTCTCCTTGCTGCCGCTGCCACTTGACCCCGCATGTCAGCCGCACACCCGTCCACAGTGTTGTCTTCCTCACCCACGCCTCAACCGCCTACGCGTCCGGCGCCCGACAGCGCTGGCAGGGCGGACCAGGGGGTCACACCCGGGGCATGGCCTGTCTCCCTTGCGCCGCGCTCATGCAACCTCACGCGAGCCGTCTGATGCATCGCATGCCTCTCCACCGCTCGATCGCCGCCCGCCATGGGAGCATGGAGCTCGGTTATAAACCCCTGCCTCGGATGCCCGAGCGCTCTCCTGTGCCCCGCCACCACCTTGTGGCCGTCCACAGCACACCCAAGCCAAGAGAGAAGAGGGAGCACATTATCGGAGTTGATGGCGTGGACGATGTTGAAGCTTATAATAACTACGATGAGATGCCGCTATTCACAGACTTTCCTAAGAAGATCAGTGTTGTGGAAAAGAACCTGCCCAAAGACATATTGTCATGGGAACAAAAAGGTATGAAGAGAAAAGTCGTTATAGCGGGCTAGCTAGTCGTTGAACGTGGAGTGTTTATGTAAGTGTGTGTGTTTGTAAGACTTCATTTATGCATGTGTGTGAGACTATATATTTATGTATATGTGTGAGACTATATATTTATGTATGTGTGTGGGACTACATTTATTTATGTGTGTGAGACTACCCTTTGCAACATTCAGATGAACCTATTACAATATCCAGCGTCCACCACTTGGAATGAGAAGGTTCCATGATTGGTACTTGCGTGTTCTCCTAAAGAGCATAGACCTCGTACAAGCATGCTTCCCCGCCGGCACATTTGGAAGCCTAGCCGAAAAAATTATCTTTGGCTTCAATGACATGCAGACATGTTTTCACCTTGGAGCAATGGAAATGAATCGTGGTGCATGTAAGTCCTTGCCCTCCCGATATGATACGAATATAATCTTTAAATTTTGTTGTAAATAACCCACGTCGTGATTTATATAATGCAAGTGCACATTGTAAAACAATGCCAAGTGTGAAAGCCGGGTATATAGACCCTCAAGCTATAGCACAAACAAATTTTAATTACCCTAGACAGTGGAAACTGGATGCCAAAGAGCTAGCTATTGGAAAGACCCTTCGGGAGAAAGAGGACATCCGTGTGAAGAAACTAAGGCAAGAGTCCCTTAAGGTTTTGGTATACATTGCCCTGGATTTTAAAAATCTCCAACAGCACTCTACTATATGGCTACCATACAACTTCGAATAAGTTCAACTCTATACTTAAAGCTTTGTTCGATATATTTTATTCGATGCAAAAGAGCTTATCTAATTCTATGATTAAATTTATACAGCAACCACTGAATTTGTATAGGTGTCGATGTCGGGAGGAGTATGGCATGGGTCTTTGATTCAATAGATAGGGACCCAGTGACATACAAAGACTTCATATCGATTCTCAAGACGTATACATATCGACAATTCTCATTAGTTTATATGTTTGTATACATACTTGTAACGTTCACTTTTGGATACTAACAAGTTGTATTTACTAAAATAATTCGAACAGGGCATTCAGGTTCTATATCAATGAACATCACGGAAGGCATGATCCAGTAAGAAAGGAAAAGCTGGCTATAAAAACACTATGTGCGGTAAGTGTAACTTAGTTTAGTACTCCATTACATGGCTGTCAAAAGCATTACTTAACATTTTTATATGCAAAACACACAGTGCCCCAAGCAAAAGCCTGAGAGTGTACATTGTGGATATTATGTATGTTCTATGATGAGTAACACCGGTACCTACAGGAGACATCCCTTAAGGGTAAGTTTGAACCTCTTCACCCATAGTATAAAAACTTCGCACATGATATGAAATATTAAACTAAAACTTGTTCTCTTGTAGTGGAAAGAAGAAAAAGAAATAAAAAGAGACCCATAAAAGGATGACCAACTCTTAGAGCTCGTCGGGGACCTTTGCAATTTCATATTGGACCAGATTGTACACGTCAAAGGCACCTACCATGATCGAGATTCTGACTTTGGTAGAAATCCTCAGTACCAACACCTTCGTGAGACTGAAAGGCTAGCTCTAGGTCGTTGATAACAATGTGTATGGAATTTGACATTGGTCTTACCTTGTGGGACGGTTTGGACTTGTGGAACGCATTAGACTTGTGAATTATGTCTATTTAATGATGGATTGTATATATTCTTGTGAATTAGACTTATAATGGTAGTTTATATAATGCTCTTGTGCTTGTGGTCAGATTTGAATTATATATGTTCTGGTTAGATTTGAATTATATATGCATATATATGTTCTGGTCGAATTTGAATTATAAATTTGATTTTTTTTTACGAAAAAATATACTGTAGGGACGGTTCTACACTGAACCGCCCAAACAAACAGGTATTATAGGGGTAATTTGGTACTATAACCACCCTTACAAATCAATTTTATAGGGGCGCCCTACAAATCGATTTGTAGGGGCGGCTCATAACACCAGCCGTCTCTACAAATCGATTTGTAAGGGCGGTCTGGGAACCGCCCCTACAAATACATGATTTATAGTGACGGTGTGGTAGGGGCAGCTGGCCGAGCCACCCCTACTAATCCTGTCTGTGGTAGTGTGAAACAGTACGGGATGAGCACAAAGTATATATACATATAGAAGCATATAGTATCTCTGAACTGTGTGCAGCAACGTAAGGAACTGATGAGCATAGCATAATTATTAGCCCCCCTCACAATTTCACGTTAGCTACAATTCTCCCTTTTTCGTATTTATTTACATACATATAGGTCAGTATATATGGATTGCAATATCAAGTAGAAGAAATCGTTAGGAAATAAATCATTCACACATATATAAAAATATATATTTCATTCACACACCAGGCTATCAGTGAGTTCGTTTGGCTGTGACGTGTCGTAAACGATCGTAAATTTCTAACCGGAACAGTATTTTTCTCTTACACAAACCAGCCAGCAGTACTTCTTCACGAACCAACAACGAAATGAACCAGCCAACCGAACAGGCTGTATGTCACATTTATCATCCTTTGAATTAGCAAACACTTGCTCTTATTAGCTGATGCCTACCACGATGACGATATTGCAGTTGATTGTGTACGTGCACGACAAGCACCTACGTCTTAGCAACTAACCCTACAATACAATCGTTATATACAAGTGCAAATGTTAGGTCCGCATTTGACCATTCGCACTTGCGAGCAAACGTTCCCATAATAATAAGTCATAAAACACTCATCGCTTCGGTATCACTATTGTTTTTAACCATTATCCTGAATGCTACCACCCTCTATCCTGAGTTATAGGTCATTTTGGCATTTCTTGTCTTTATACATAATCAAAATTAGGTATGTAGAAAAACTAAAACGACGTACAAATTGGAACAGAGGAAGTAATATAAAGGAAAATCACAATAATGTTATGAAAATACCTTTATTTGCAGAATAAAACTCACCTATCGTCGAGTTGTGATGATATGCTGTACTAGGAACTAAAAGCATGCAAAGTGCTTCTTCCTGATTTTTTTGGTCGTCATTGATGTTGCATGTCTCTGTGAACGGCCACCGTAGTGAGGCCTAACCCAATCCGGTGAATGGAACGGTGGATCAGTGAGGGGAGGCTGGTTTTCAATTTTCAAAGGTCTCGTGTTGTATGTGCACGGTTTCAGTTACTCCGGAGTACTTCCCACTTCCCAGCCGGATTAGTGATCGTTTTCTCTTCGTCTTGCTCAGCCAATGAGAATGCGCAAGAGCAGGCAGATCGAACTGCACAAAGCATTGACTCTAAGCCAACTTGATAAGCATGATGAAACCCCAATCAAATGCGGATCCCCTGTCTACCAAAAAGAACACATTATTTATTAGTTCCTCGACGTGTATGTCATCTCCTACAAGTGCATTTTAACCAATCGAACAATTTAGTACGTAAGCGCCCAAGTGTGTGCAAATTGCAAAGCTCTCCTCCAGTCCTCTCTTGTTTATATATTTATATATATATACATACGTATAGTTGCAACTTGCAAAAGCGCTCGATCGTCATAATCAGCTGCGTGGTAGCTTGTACGACAATCACATTTTGAAGTGCCATAATGTGAATCAGCAGCTTGAAGCTGTGGAGGGCGATGGTGAGGGTGCACTCCGCGTCCGCGTCGTCGCAGGGGCTCGGCCTCGGCGCGGCCGGACCCGGACCCGTCGCTCCTCCACCTGATCATCAGCCAGCGGCGGCACGGCCACGGCGGGTGCACGGGATCAGCGAGCAGCCGCCGGAGGTGTTCACCATCTGGATGAAGTCGCTGGTTCTCAACGGCAGCGGCTGCACCGTCTACGACTCCGCCGGGAGCATCGTCTACCGCGTCGACAACTACGGCGCCCGCCGCGCCGCCGACGTCTGCTTCATGGACGTCGCCGGCAACGTCGTCCTACAGATACTCAAGAAGAAGGTGACCAAAGTTATTAATTAGAAAGCTTCAAAGAACGTAAATCTGACACGCTAGCTTTGGTCTTTTATTTGGTTGTTGATCTGGCCGCGCTCGCGCGCCCGCAGAAGCTCGGGTTCGGGAGGAGGTGGGAGGGATACAGGTGGGCCGACCAGGAGCAGGAGCAGGAGCGGCAGCGGCCGTGGTTAAAGGTAGTCCGGGCGTGGGCGTGGCGCGGGCCGTCGTGCTGCACCTGCGACTGCGAGCTCGGCCTGGGCCTCGGCCTAGGCGGGAGCGAGTCGACGACGACGACGACCGTGCGCTACAGGATGGACGACGCGAGGATCGCGCCGGCGCGCGGGGCCAGGATCGTGGACGGAGCCACGGGGCTCGCCGTGGCCGAGGTGAAGCGGAAGACGACGGCCGAGGGTGTGGCGCTCGGCGCCGACGTGCTCACCCTGGCGGTGGAGCCCGGCGTGGACCGGTCTGTCATCATGGGGCTCGTGCTCGTGCACGGCCTCATCAACCGCGCCATGTGAGACACTCATCAGCTGATCAGCAGATGGATACTAATACTATTACTAGCACTATATGTATTTTCATGAGAGAGAAAGAGAGGAGAGTAATCCCGTATTTGACTCTTAGGCCTGTTCGCTTCGCTGAAAAGTAATGGCTGAAAATACTGTTCGCTGATTTATTGTGAGAAAAAAATAATATTCATTCGCTGAAATAATACGGCTCATAAGATAAGCGAACAGGTCTTATTCCCTCCGTTCCAAATTATAAGATGTTTTGGCTTTTCTAGATACATTGCTTTTACTATATATCCAGACATAGTGTATATCTAAGTGCGTAGCAAAAATAATGAATATAGAAAAGCCAAAACATCTTATAATTTAGAATGGATTGAGTAATAAAGAGGGTATTAGCCACTTATTATAGGAGTAGTATTACGGAAAGGGAGAGTGATTATGTATAATTGGAGGCGATCGTGATCTTCACTTCTCTTTTGGCGTTTGTTTTTGGGAGTACTGCATTGTAGTTTTCCAGTTCAATGTACAAATGGATGCAGATGATCAAAGTACAGTAGCTTGCAAGGATTCCTGTAAGGCTAACTGTCTCTGCGGGCTTGCATATATGAGCCGATTCTGGGGGTATTCTTTTTCCAGCGCTGCTGAGTTGAATTCTCAAATTTAATAGTCCACCAGACAGCATCAGAATATCGACACACCATACTTTGCAGAGTACGGGCATCCGTTCACAAGACCATTTGAAAAAAAACGTATAAATAAAGTAATAAAGAACAAAGATTTGCGCTCTCGATAGCGCAGGGATTGGGCATCGGGCATGCAAGCTAAGGATGCACGTCTAGCTCACCCTAGAGCGTAAAGGCAAAGATCAAGCAAGGAACAGCAACGTAGGCAAAGATATTATTAACAGTTTAAAATTGCATTTTCAATAGATGATAGCATGTATCCTTGGTAAGATGATAAACGCATGTAGGTACAAAATAATCATGTATTGCATGTTAAACGATTCTAATTAATAAACTGGATTAGGCATAGACCATAACAGAATGTTAGTAGTATGTTAGTAGTCCTGATGCTCATACTGTACACTTGCACAGGCTCTACATGACTACATCTTGTACAGTCTAAGGAATGAATTATTTTTAAGAAACCAAGGATCCTCTGTCGTCTCCGTGCTTCCTGGGGATTGGGGGCAATACAAATGATATATTTTCTTTTCTTTTCTTTCCCAGATGGTGATCCGTTGCACTCAAAACTGCAGGACAACTGCAAGCCAGACCAGCCGTCCCGTCCAGATGCATGATGCATGGCCCAAAGTGAAGGCAGCAACCAATGTGTACTATTCCATTCCACTCCACCTGAACCATCAATTCTCTTGATATGGATGGCTGGCAGATGAGCATAGCTCTTTTCCACCTGCACCAAATACACACCCAACTGCCTCCAACCATTGCTGCTTTGTGCCAGGGCACCTCTCCCAATATATTTACAACATAAGCTACATGAAGTAGCTTAGCGTTGTCTTTTTCCTTGACCCGCCTTCTCCATAGAGATCATTCCATTGCACAAGCTCATTCATGTTACTGGAATCTGAGGAAACACTTGCACACACCTACAAGAAGTCACCACATATTGTGTGAGCAAGACCAGCTCAAATGGGTAAATCACGAACACTGTACAAAATTTCATATCCCATTCGCCTCAAATGTAGACAATGAAACATTGGAACAGCATTGATAGCAGAGATATGGAGGTTGAAATCTCCTACGTGATCGAGAGAGAGAATACGCCACAAACCTTCTATGTTGTTAGTTAGGTTATGTCCCCTTTTTAAAGAAATTGTAACAGTAATTTTCTTTTTATAAAAAAAAGGAACGATCATGTGGTCCATCCCTCCGCATAACTTCAGTAAACTAAATACTTTTGTCCACAAACACATAATAAAGAATTTCAACTGACAGAAGCACAAACTAGTGTGTCGAAATAAATGAAGACAAAGCTAATACTTATATAAGATCATACCTGTTCATGCGCATGTATGAAATCACTTAATCTTAATGCACGGACATCATTGCTAGTGTGTGACAGAGGCAACGATCTATTTTCTGCTTCTGCTGAAGCTCTCTCCTGCAGATGGACAATGCACATGAAACTCAATTGCATTTTTCATATTATAAACAAAGAATCCATCCATGTATATCAAATACAACCAGTATCAAAATAATTCTGGTCCATTGATTTTGCTACTACTAACTGATAATATTAGAACCCCAAGGAGTACAGCACACAGGGGAAACTCAAGAGGTTAAAACAAACCTTCTTCTCCTTTTCAAGAATCTCCCTAATAGGACGATAAGCAGCAGTAACACACAGGTTCTGAAAATAATCACAGTCAAGAGGTTAACAACAATCAATATTTGATTGCAAAACTAAGTACCATTAAAAATTCATAGCATTAGTAGTATCATACCTTGAGATCACTACCAGAGTACCCTTCTGTCAAGTTAGCTATAGTTTCTAGATCAAAGTCATCTGCCAAATCTTCCTTGGCTAGTATTACACTAAGAATTTTTCTCCTATTTGATGCATCTGGCAAATTCACCATCAACCTAGAGAAACCATTGCCCCATAAGACTGAGGTCAATAAACTATTGACAGATGTTGTATTAGGCTATAAACAAACAATAAATCACCTCCTTGGAAGCCGCCTAACAACAGCCTCATCAAGATCAAATGGCCTGTTAGTTGCAGCAAGTACTAATACACGTTCTTTCTCCTTGGTTCTCAGACCATCCCAGTTCACCATAAACTCATTTTTCATCTTACGCATGGCTTCATGTTCTCCAGGGTTCTCCCGCCTTCCCAACATGCCATCAACCTAAAAACAAGGGCAGGATAAATGAGCAGGAAAGTATATGCATCAATACAGGATTGACAACAAACTACTGATATGGTGGTGCCCTGGTGCAGTTGAAATAAATAGAAAATGTTCATGGATCACAACACTACTATAACTTACCTCGTCCACAAAAATTACACTTGGAGCAATTTTACTAGCCAGTGAAAACACAGCTTTCACGAATTTTTCTCCTTCACCAAGCCACTAGAAAATAGGTTATTTAGATGTTATAATGCAGATACTCAAACTGCCCAAAAGAACAGAGGCTTATCCAATTGATAAGTACCTTTGAAGAGATGCTTGACATCGATATGTTTATGAAATTAGCACCAGCCTCAGTTGCCACAGCCTTAGCCAGCATTGTCTTTCCCGTACCAGGTGGGCCAAAAAGTAAAATTCCTTTACATGGCTGGTATAGAATAGAATATAAACAACAGAAGTTAGCTTTCTATCAGCTAAAGGAAGTGTTCCATTGCTGGCCCCCGTACCAGGTGGGCCAAAAAGTAAAATTCCTTTACATGGCTTGTATAGAATAGAATATAAACAACAGAAGTTAGCTTTCTATCAGCTAAAGGTAGTCTTCCATTGCTGGCCTAGCATTAAAAACAAAAATATTGCTATTACAAGAACATTCCACCATGTAAGCAGAAAATAATCAGTGATAAGTAACATGCTAAAAAAATGCACTTGCTATTCTTTTTTTTTCCAATCAAACTTCATACAAGGCAGACTTTATTAGGCTCATCTGATGCATACTAAAATGGATGTCCTCCACAAGATACTACAATGATGTTTGCCATGGTCAGTTTCACCTCATTTAGCAAGAATTGGATTGTCGAATTCAATCCAACAAGATGAAAAAGTAGTGAAGTATATGGAAGCATTATTGAAAAACACATCCATAAAAGCTTGTCATGATAGTGAAGCTAAAATTTTGAAATATAAAGAATGCCTACCTTCATAAGTTGTCCTCGGTTGAAAAGTTCAGGTCTTTGCAAAGGAAGCATCACTAACTCCTTCAGAATATCTTTGACACTTTCTAAAGCTCCAATGTCCTCAAAGGTAACACCAATTTCATGTGGAGGGATAACATCAGCAAGAAGCCTCTTTTCAAATTCGTTTTCCGTAGCAATATCCTGACATTGTTAGAGAGAACAGTAAGCTCTATGCAGTAAAACAATTTCCAAAACTCCAAAAGATCAACATAGAGACTGAACTGGATTAACAGGCTTGAATCATAATATAACAAAAGAAAATAAGTACCTTTAGTAATTTCCTTTTGGTGCTGCTCTTCAAGCCAGACTGGATACTTTCCAACATGTCAACACCATGCTTAAGGCTGCAATGGTAAATAGTGGAACAATAAACATTTCTGTTAAGAAGAAGTAATCTTATAGAAAAATTGGTGAAGCACTAGACTAGATCTGAAACCTTTTGCTGGATAGAGCAAACTGCACACTACTCAAAGAGGGGTCTGGATTTGTACAGTTCTTAAGTTGATGGCTCAAAGCAAAACCAATTATTTTATCAATACCTGAAAAATAACACAACTGGTATCAATGACACTGAGCAAATTTGATATCTTACATTAAAATGAATATGAATGGCACTCACACTCATTTGTAAGAATGCGATCCTTGACCAATATCGCCTCAAGGTCAGTGCATTCCAAACCAACCCTTGTTAGAAACTGAAAGCAATGGCAAAAGGATGGGAATGAAACCAATGAAGTTGTTGTAAGTCCTATGCAGTTACAAGACCAAGATGAAAGATGCAACCATAGTCAAGCTAAGATCCAAGATGCAACCATAGTCAAGATGCAACAAAACCCTTGAACAAAATAGCAAATTTCTCAATTCAGATATCATTAAGTAAAGTCAAATTCCTCTAGCTCTAAATGGAGTTTCTAAAGCTTGTACAAGTACAACACAAATCAAGAAATAAAAATAACTGTAATGCATTTGACTCACAAAACGAGAAATAAAGATAACTGTTATGCATTTGACTCACAAATCAAGAAATAAAAATAACTGTAATGCATTTGACTAATCAAAGTATTCCCTCCAGTCAATAATAAACTACACTTTCGTTTTTTTGCAGTCTTCAAGGCGTAATTTTGACTATTTTCTTTTAGAATATATCTGCGAAATCTAATAAAATGATGAGGTTATGAAAGTATCCCTATAATAAATTTATCAGGTGATTGGAGTACTTTTCAAAACAAATCTACACATGATTATTCATGTTTGCAACAAAAGATTTCGGAAGTTACTGAATGTGCAAATTTCGTAAGTTTGGACCCCACCTTATCCAAAAAAACCAAAAATTCAAGTATTTGTGACCAGAGGGAGAGTAAAGCTCATAGATTCACCATATCACAGTACACAATATTAACTAGTAGAACAAAGAAAGAGTTGGCATTGATTAGAACAGTCATGTAAAAAATTACTCAATTCACTAATAATAACAGAATTTGTACATAGATAAATATAAGCAGTGGGTTTTAGGCTTTTAGCACTAATACTTACAGAGCGTAATTTTGAAATGTTTGCATTTCCTTTAAGGACTTCAATATCTCGGTTTAACATCTGGTTCCACCGCGAAAGCTCCGTTTCGTCCTGCAAAATTTGTCCCAGGTATATTAAAATTGAATGTCAGAGGAGCTACTCTAAATTAATCATCTTGGAAATAAAATTGAATGTCAGAGGAGCTGCTCTAAATTAATCATCTTGGAACTACTCCAAACAACATACTTGTGGTGCCTCGAGTGTCACTTTATTCGGGAAAAGTTTGATCAAATGCTTCATTGCCTTTGAAGTTTCTTTATTATTATTATTTCCCCCATCAATGTCCTGCATTTTCGTACATTAGATTATAACATGAAATGCACCGATAAAGTAGAAACTAGACAACATATGATTAGTGCAAATAACAAGACTGCACACAACCTCCAGTAGTACAAATAATGGAAGTCACAGTGGAAGACAAATTGATACATACGAATATAAACCCTAAGCTGGGAGTACAAAAATGGATATCTGGGTATGAAATAAATGAATTTTATGTAGTTCTCTGTGTGTATAAGACAGCACTTAGGGGCTGTTTGGATCATGCCCTGGCAGGCAGCTTGCCAGCCAGGCAACGATCTCAACCCCAGGCGACCGAAATAGAATGCCAGGGAATCGTGCCTGGCAAGGCAGCCTTGCCTGGGGACACAACCAATCAGGCCCTAGATTTGTAAAACTATTATGACAGCATACCAACAAATGGTCATGCATTCTGGTCATAATTCATAATCCAGACTAGTCAGTTGGACCATACAGTACTACATATACAAGCTATAATTGCTCACAAGATCATAACCAAATTGGTAGGAGTAGACGGTCCATCAGAAACCTTACAAAATATAAGGCTCTGTTTGCTAGAGCTTCGGATGGCTCCGGCTCTGGCTTCTTCGTACACTGTAGCAAGGATCTTTCAAAATGAACTAGGAGCCGACAAACGGGCAAAGCCACTCTTTTTTGCTTCGGCGGCTCCGGCTCCTCCGCACACTATAGCAAGGAGACGCCGGAGCCAGAGCCGTTTGAAGCCGTACCAAACAGGCCTAATAACAAAACTAATGAAATACTCCAATGTAACAAGTACTTTATTTTTTGAACAAAATCAGGTCAAAGTTTTGAAACTTTGACTACCTAAAACTTTTTGGACATTTGTTACATGTATGAAAATTGTATGCATTGATTTTTCAAGAAAATAAATACTTCCATAATATCACAAATTTATTGGATCGTACTGGATTTTATAAATATTCGAGAGACCATGCCTTGTCCAAAACATCCATGTATCTTTTACCAAAGGGAATATAATGTATAAGCTTCATATTCAATATAATTAAGATTACCTGTAATGCAAGGTCAAGTATAGCTTGGCTGTACGGGAACTTCGAAAGAAAAGGAGAACTACCATTTGCCTGCACGTAGAAATAAAACTTTATTAGGTAAAAGGGATAAGCAAACAAGACAATATTGCATGGAACATCTGTAGTCTAGTATCATCGAATGTGCAAAACGGTACCTTCTCTTTGCGATTGTCAGGCTGGATTTGAGATCCAATTATAAAAGCACCAGCTGGAAAATGTTTTAGTTTGCTCTTCAGACCATGATAGGAGTCATTATTCCCACAAATTTTCTCTGTGTCCTTCAGAAAAAGGATTAAAGGGCCTTGCCGAATTTCTTCAGAGATGAACTGTATAGCACAGCAAGTGTAAGGAACGCAAATTAGCATAATATCAAATCATGGAAAAAATAAAATACAACTGTTAATTACCTCAACTATCACATCAAAGGGATGTTTGGATGTAACCTCCCATCCTGGAATGTCCGGGCATAAAGAATCAACTGAAACAGCAACAGGTAGGAACATTACCCAAACAATTGAAGTGTTTCCATAACAATGAAATGATTTGAGTGTAACTGCATAAGCAGCATCATGTAATTTGTTTTCATGAGAACTTGCTCAAGACAGCAGAATGTACTAACCTGGACAAAACAAACCATGATCAACTTCACAATTGCCTCCAAGATCATTTCCTCCCAGAATTTTTTTATCAAACCTTACACCAACCTTCGATGATCTATTTTCTTCAAAAGGAAGAAATATTTCACCCTGTGAACCAAAATCTGGAGGGCTGCAGGTTGAACAATTTAACAAAAGGCAGAAGCAGATATTAATACATCAACGTAGTTGTAAGATGAACAACAATCTCTGTTTGATTTCAGTAACAAAAAAACCCATATCTTTGCCAACAACACAAATTGCAAGTCATAGGTCGGACTACTACGACTCTGTTTGGCCATCTGGCTTCTGAGCTTTTACTTTTTTAAAGCCGCAAGATGTCCCAAACACCACACTCCATTAAGAACCAGCGATTTTCTCATTTAATGTGAAACCAGATAAGCTGAGAAGCCACCCCCACACACACGCGCGCACGGGTCCCAAGGCTTTTCCCCTTTCGCCCGCAAGTGCCGCCCGCCTGTTGCCCTTTCCTTCATCTGTGCAGCTCACCTCTCCCTCCTCTCCCACTTCACTGTTAGGCTGCCACCAGAGAAGATAAGCGAGGGAGATGCCTCCCTTCGCGCTAAGCCTCTCCTCCTTACAAGTTGCACACCACCATTGGCCTCTGCTCCCTGCGCTGCCATCTGCACAGCCCTCCGCCGGTTGAGCCCCGCCGAGATCCCCTCAATCACCAAGCTGCATTCCACAAGGCCCAGCTCTCTGAGTCCAAGATCCCTGCCAGTGCAGTAGCTTGCAGGGATTTGTGGTTGTGGGAGATGGGTCTGGAATCTGAATGAAAGGGATGACGAGACAAGCCCACTCATAAAAAGCTAATTGGACAAAGCTGGAAGCCCAAAAACCTAGTTTTTTTGTGTAGCAACTTTCTAAAAAGTGGCTTCTCCATGCTGCTAGAAAAAAGCAGCTTATGCATAAGTTTAAGCTGTGCCAAACAGGGCTTAAATCGGATAAAATGTCAAACCCTTTTCTTTTACTTGACAATAAAATTTAAATTCAGGCAAAGAAGGCTTATTAAATTCAGTCTGAAACTGCAAGTTGTACCTCTGTCCATCAAGGATAATGCCAGTCGACTGTAATGAACCAATATACCTCACTCTATCACCTGAATAAATAATAACAATAAAACCATTTATTTAGACAACATTACAGAATATTAGAACCTTATCACTGCGCCTGCTAGGCTAGTTTGTGGGCAAACATATGAATCAATTTTGTCTGCTCTTTCCTACATTGCCCCTGGTAATGGTCAGTGTTGTGGATAAATGCAAGCCCACTAGGAATGCATTAAAAATGAAAAGGAGATCACCAAAATTCTGAATTAAATTTCAACTAAACATGAAAGTCACATAGTGTCAACATTCGTACCCTTTTTGTAGGACTCTGACTCCTTGGAAGCTTGCCCCTGAACAACAAAATATAAATGAGTACCAAGTACCAGCAAATAAACAGAGTACTCATAGAGTGCACAGTCAAAGCAGGTTTTTTGTTTTTCAAAATAGTATAGAGCAAGATGACAAGACCATCGATAGATAGAATTATTTATAAGATAAAGAGTGAGTACAGAATGATAAGATAAAGAGAGTACAGCCATGCCATGAACTCATGATGTTAAGCCATAGATTTGGAAACATCATAGTTATGATTGTCACAAGTAGAACACAAAAGAATAAACATAATAGCTCAGGATCTTACACCAAACAGCATGGAAGAATCTACAGTGAGCAATCTAGCACCAAAATACTTTGCAAGTGCCTTCACCAGATATTCTTGATAGATATCAGTTCCTATAAAAGTTACCACGCTTAATAAAAAACAGAAACAATAACTGCGAGTTTCAAATAAAGCTAAATAATACACATGTATATACCTGTTGGGCCAGATAGCAGCACTCGTTGACTAAGAGAAGATATATCTTTTGTAAACTTGAAGTAGTTCTTGCAATGTAAATGTACATATGCTGATGACATGAGAGCACATTTGGTATGCTCACTGTGGGGAAAATAATAGAAAACAATTATTAACAAGCACATATTCATCAATCAAACTTAAATACTGGAACTAGAATGTGAGCAGTAAAGTTTCAGAATTTCCACCGTATACCAAAGTATTTAGATTTCTAGCATAAGGACAATATCGTAGATTTATCATAAAAAATATTTCAACATTACTGTGATTTTGACAATTTTCAATCATATGTAATTTAGCAGGTGCTAGAAGACTTCGTCCACATCCTAAATCCTAAATAACAAAGTAAATCAGACCAAAGAGAGTAAACTACTACTCCCTCTGTTCCAAATTATAAGACGTTTTGGCTTTTTTAGATTCATAGCTTTCGCTATGCACTTAGATATACACTACGTCTAGATGCATAGTAAAGACAATGTATCTAGAAAATCCAAAACGTCTTATAATTTGGAATGGAGGGAGTACTTGTCTACTGCAATGATAAGCAGTATCAGAATGCTGTTTAGTACAACTATTATTTTGAGCACTACACTTGCAATTTTCTGAAGACTAAAGGAATTCGAATAAGCTCTGTGCACAATGAAATAATTGTTCACAAAATATTTCAAGAAATGGAATACAGGATAGGGAAAGCCAATTGTGTGAAATTGGCTGGAACCATGAGTTGTGTAAGATATTTGTTCAATAGGCAATAACGGTTAATCAATAATTATTTCCAGAAGAGAAAAGCAATAGAAACAAAAAAAAAAGAACTACAATCTACTCACTGCATTTCATAGTTCCAAACAGTACAAAGACTTTTTTTAGAAATCATATAGATCCTGCAATCTTCAGGTACAGAGTACAGACATACAAATGTATGCAAGATTAAAACATGAGTGCTGAATGAGCAAACATCTTGTCAAGAGTTCAAATTATGATATAGATGACACATGATTCAACTCAATGCACCTACATGGGAGGAATAGTATCATGTCTCTTGGCCAAATAAGTTTCAATAAATCACAAATAACACAATCTAATGAGACAGCTGATAGCTGAATGTATGCTTACCTTAGATAATATGGGCAACTATCAAATGACTCAGAGATGTCACTCGCATCAACCGTTGCATTGATCAAATCCTCCTTTACTAGCTGACACCGACCAGATGAAATATTATCTTCAGAGCTAAACTGGCTCCGGCCCTCCATCATTTTACATGAATTAAGCATAAGTGGGCCTGCTGATGGACCTGCAATAGTGTTTAAATAATAAATGTTAAATCAATTGCGAACAAAAATTACTGTGCAGCAAGCACTAAAGAATACTTTGGGGGTGAGGGGTATGTCTGTACTATCCTATAAACAGCAGTGAATTTCAAAACTCTGGGACTAAGAACCAATAGTTTACAAAGAAACAACGATGACAAATATGAAGTCTCACCACTAGGCAACAATGAAGACCGACCTCTTCCAAAGTAAAAGGTTGAGACTTTGCGCCCTTTTGATGACAAAAGATCCTGAACATCTTTGAAATGTGAGCGTTGCCCCTGCTGGACACTACTGCAAGTGGAGGATAACACTGAAGTGCTAGATTTCTCCTGATGAAGTTGCTCAAATATCTACCATCACATTAAGGACCTTCAATGTCAAATGTTACTTCTCTGACCATCATTACATTATATTTATTACAAATAAGTCTAATAAAAATCAAGGTTCATTTGTGTTTAGCCGGTTAGCCCGAATCATAAAAGGAAAAAGTCTACATAACCCCCTCGACTATTTAGAGTGGACTACTTCACCCCCTAAACTATAAAACCGGATTTTCTACCCCTGAACTTTCCAAAACCGGTCAAATAACCCCCAGGCGGTTTTGAACAGTTGTTTGCTACAGTGCCAGTGGTTTTGTCTTTTTCTTTTTTATTTATTTCTGCTGAATCTTTGAAAAATCATAGTAAATCACAGAAAAATCATAAAATGAAAAATCCAATTTTGTTGGACTCCACATGAGTAGATCTACACAGTGAACATATAATATGGTATGCTTTAATACAAAGTTTTTGCTGTAGCTTTAGATCTATGCTTTTCTGTAATTAATTGGAATAATTCATAGTTGCATCTTCTATGGTCCAATTGTGGTGAAATTTTTATGGTGGGCTAATTATTGTATGCTTGAACTGTAGTAAAAATTTCATACTCATTGGATCATGTATAACTTAGTTATAGTTCAAGCATACAATAATTAGCCCACCATAAAAATTTCACCACAATTGGACCATAGAAGCTGCAGCTATGAATTATTCCAATTAATTACAGAAAAGTATAGATCTATAGCTACAACAAAAACTTTGTACTAAAGACTACTATATTATATATTCACTGCGTAGACCTACTCATGTGGAGTCCAACAAAATTAGATTTTCCATTTTATGATTTTTCTGTGATTTACTACGATTTTTTCAAAGATTCAGCGAAAATAAATTAAAAAGAAAAAGACAAAACCACCGTCACTATAGCAAAACCACCGTCCAAAACCGCCTGAGGGGATTATTTGACCGGTTTTGGAAAGTTCAGGGGGTAGAAAATCTGGTGAAGTAGTCCACCCTGAATAGTTGAGGGGGTCATGCAGACTTTTTCCAATCATAAAAGTAAGATGCTCCTTTGTTTTAAAATATGACATTTAGGACAGGGTAATTATTTCTTTTTTAACTATTTAACCTGTCCTATCGTCATATATTTAAAAACAAAAACATAGGGAGTATTCATTATATAATGCAATAGGCAATAGAAAAGGATACATAAGCATGCCTCACTGGTGAACGGAAGATAATTTCATCTCCTCCATTCAAGGTAACCTTGGCAGCCTTGTCCAAAGATTTCCCATTTACACGAACAACTTTGGATTCAAAGACTTCAAGGAGTGCACCTCGCTATTACAAAATGTCAGAATAAAAGGAGAACAAATGCAGGGAAGAACTAAAAATAATTTCACAGTACCTTAGCCTGCTTCAGTCTACAAACAGGTGAGGCAGTGGATGATTCGCCCAGTCTGAAATCATGATGCGCTCCATGACCAATAGTGAAAAGCGCACCGTAAATAGAAAGGGTAGGATGCTGTTGAAAAAAAAAATACAGTAGATGACAAGCCATTGGTATATGATAAAATGTTCAATCATTTTAGTTGCTCCAAAGAGCAATAATGAAGTTAGTTAACTCACTGAAGGGCACCTTAAATCCTACTTTTATACAATAGCATACGCACACAAGCACTAACAATGGAACATTGAAGTTTCCCAACAAATGCAGCCAAACGTCACATCATATACAGCCTATCAAATAAAGAAAAATGAAACACAAAACATCTTAATAACCTTGGCATTGAGATGGAACTATGTATGAAATTATTTTTCCACGAATTGTAGGTAAACAGAAAGTGTATATTGCAATTGAATGGGGTTGGATGGTGCTTTCTTCTTTAAGGTTACACAAGAGTTGGGGCAGATAGGGAATAGGTAAGGTTCAAGGTACTATTGCATACTCCCTCCGTCCCTAAATATCTGTCTTTCTCGCTTCCCAAGAAATAACTTTGATTAATTTTATATAAAAAATATTAATATTTACGATGCATAATTAATATCATTAGATAGATCTTTGAATCTAGCTTTTTAATAAATTTATTTAGAATACAAATGTTGCACGTATTTTCTACAAATCTAGTCAAAGTTATGACACGGAAACCCAAACGACAAATAATAAGGGGCGGAAGGAGTATTCCTGAGTTATGATATGAGGTTTTATATAGTATTTCTATAGTAATTAGACAGAACGATTAACATGTGCCATGTAGTTCTTGGTAATTAAGGTCTCATCCGAAGCATGAGAGGTCATGGGTGAGTTCTACTGATTGAAAGAGAAGTGAAAGGACATAAGATAATTCGCACCATGGAATATTGTGAAATTAGTCTGCACCAGGGTTCCTGACGCCTGCTGGTGGCTGCAGCCTGTGGCTTATTCAATATCCCAGCCACCTTATCCTTGGTTTTCTTTATCTTCGCCGATAAATCCTCCGACAAATCCATGGCTCTCTTTATCTTCGCCGATAAATCTTTATCATTATTAGTGTCCCGCTTATGCCCTACACCAACAAGGGAACTCATCAAACCATAAGGCCCCAACGAAAACCGAAAGAACGCCTTAGGCACATCGTAGGGACAAGGCTCATACCGGCCGGATTGGACTGAGCCTCCTTGGACCTCAAGAGGGCCTCCAGCTTGTCCATGGCGCCGGTCAGCGCCTGCAGCCCAGCCGTGTTAGGCAGTGGACCCGCAACGGCGCCGGCTGCTGCCGGCGCCACCGACGGCTTCGCGGTATCCGCCTCCGTGCACCCAACCTACCACCAGCGAGACCGCAATAACAAGAAAAACCAGATCAAAATCAGAGACCTGAAGGGGGGGGGGGGGGGGGTGGAGGAGATCCGGACCTTGGCGCGCTTCGGGGGCTGCGACGACGCGACATCGTCACCGGCTCCCGAACCCGCCGCCGCGTCCTCCGCGAGCGCCGGCGCTGGCGTTGCCGGCGCGCCCTTCTCCTCCTCCTCCCCAGTCGCCGCCGGGCGCTTCGCCGCGGCGCTCCGCCTCGTCTCGACCATCTCGCACCAGCGGCGACGCGAGAACACGAGAGAGAAAGAGGCGAAGAGGAAAGACGAAAGGAAGCGGAGAAGAATACAAAACCGAAGGATTCGTTGGATTAGTAGTAATGCAATTAGCAGGGGAGGAGGCGGAATAAAATAAGGCGGCCGCCGCGAACCACCAATCGCGCACGGTAGCGGCGTGACAGGTGAGACTGTGCTGTCCAGTCGATACTCGATAGGGAGAGCGAGAGAAAGGCCGCCTCGTGCAATTTGTTTGCCAAGGGGAAAGATGAATAGGAGATGGGATCACGTTTCTTTCCTCTCGGATTTGGATTTCATAGCACGGCACGAAGTCACGAACCGACTGTTCAAGGGGGGAAACCGGAGGAGATGGCTCTGAGAGAATTGTAGGCTCTAATATTTTTTCTTTGATAGGTAGGCTCTAATATTTTGAATGTATATATAATCTCTACATCCTAAATTATAGAACCTTTTAATAGCTTTTCTATAGATACATATCTAGACATAGTGCATAATAAAAGCTACGTATTTAGAAAAGTCAAAATATTTTATAATTTAGAATGGAGAAATATATTAGATGAATAAAATACAACAAAAACTAGAAACAAGGTATAAATGCATGTAAAAGGTCCATGATTAAAAGCATAGTATTTTTTTAAGAATGGGTGTTTGCATGAATCATAGGGAAAAATATAGGAAACTAGTGTAAAGTTGATTCTAGAAATAATTATCTTATCCCTAAATAAAGAGTTTAGTTTTTTTTGAAAGATAAAGAATAGTATTAACAAAAAATGGCAAGCATAGGCTTATTCGTTATGTTTTCACTATTTGCACGTATTCCTCCTCTCTCCTCACCTCCTACTTGTCCTGCAGTCGAGCGTCCTAAGTGTGGTGGAGGAGCTGTATCAGTTGTGCACCGCATACGGACGGCAAGGGTGGACTCGAGCGCTCCCACAGCTCGCCGCCGTTGGATGAGATAAAAGTTCAACTTTGGTTGGTAATTGAATGATAACTATTGGACTGGTGATTTACTTAAGATGATTAAGTTAGGGTCCACAACATGGTGTTGAGCAAGACATGGAGCATGGTGGAGATGGTGATGACCGCAACATGCAAGTGCTCTGCAAAAGTTGATGGAGAAGAAGATGATGGATGGATGGAGTTGGAAGCAAAATCCTGAAGATAAAGGTATATCCATATATTCATAGGGTTTTTGTTTCATAGGCCCTAGGTGTGTAAGAAGTGCATGGTCGGGTTTAAGATAGTACTATTAAGAGGAGAATTCTTAAGCTAAACGGTTATTTAGTACCACTAGGAGAGGACTAACAATGCATATGTATTGGGTCTAGTGGCGTGGCAAGGAAACAAGAGAAACCCTTTTGAAAATGCTAACTCGACTCTAGAGGTATGGTATTCTCGTGGGAATCCTTTGAAGTTAGCCAATTTGAAAAAGGTTTTGAGAGAGGGGCTTGGTGAGGTGGTTGTGCACTCACCAGATAAATCCAGTGACCACAGAAGTGGAGATCACTGGAGCTTAGGTGCTGGGTACCACTCAGGATTGATCGTCTCTACTTCAATGTGGTGTACTCACCGGAAAGGTCTTATCGCCGCAAGCAGTGGGGCACTAGAGCTTAGGCTCGTTGGGCATTCAGTAGGGTTTCAGGGCATGGACCTATTCTTCATGTGCCACCAAAGAGAGGGCATCCAAGAAAAGGTCAGACACATGGCGGCAACCTATTTGTTGGTGAAGTGCGCAGGAGATTTGAACGTGGAGCACGGGAATTCTTGTGCCAGCACCGAAGATTTCTGGTGAGTTAAAAATCTTCTGCAGAAGGTTCTAGAGACCAATGGAAAAGTCCAATGGTGAGATCAACCCTTCACCGGAGTTTTAGGCTATGACCTAAACCTTATACAGAGGTGTGTTGTGGCTTTGTGTGAGCACTAAAATTATCCTGTGGTCACCGGAGAAGACCCATCAGAGTTTGTAACATGTAACAACTAGTTTAAATGGTCGCTGAAGCAGCCATTGGGAAAGCTCCGATGACCTCCACCGAAGAATTTTGGTGAGTATGTGGAAGTTGAGTAAAGGGGGGTAGCAACTAGTTTCTCTTGTAGGCTTATATTGGCACTCCCATCATATACCAACACAAGTGTTCTAGATCCCTCCCAGTCTCACTTTGGATCAAGAAACTAGCAAGGAGATGAGTGGGAGGTGTTCTTGAGAGCTCACACAAGTGTTGGAATGCTTAGAATGCCAAGAAAGCTCTCCAAGAGCCGACCAACACAAATATATATCCCCTAAAAAACTTGTCGTTGTGGCTGGTTGATTAGGTTGTCTATGTAGGCACTAGAAAACTCTGGTGTCCATCGGACATGCCACCAGAGCATGAGGTCCACGATCCAATGGCTAAGATTCAATCTGAATTTTGAACTCTGTACCGCTTCCTCTGATGTAACATAACGTGCACCACTGGACAATTCCAGTGGCCACGTGAGTGCTGAGCCAAAGTCAAACTAGCCGTGGATATCAAATGGCTAGTTGCTCCTTTCTTCGGTGACTCTCTTGTGGGGGTAGAATCTCTCGGGTGGTTTGAAAGGTCCTAATATGGCTAGAGGGGGGTGAATAGCCTATTTAAAAATCTACAAATCAACTAGAGCAATTTGATTAGTATAACAAATAGCGAAATGCAAACTTGCTCTAGCTCTACAAGGGTTGCAAGCCACCTATCCGACAATTCTAGTTTCTATGATCACTAAACACACAATTTGCTATGTCACTACTCACTAAAAGCTTTCACACTTACTACACTAAAAGAGCTCCACTAGATGAACTTAAACTACAAAGCAAGCTCTCAATTCTAGCTACACTAAAGAGCTTATTATAACTAGTTTGCAAGAATATAAATGAGTGAGTAGGGTGATTATACCGCCGTGTAGAGGAGTGAACCAATCACAAGATGAGTACTAAATCAATCACCAGGAGAATACCAAAGAGCAAGAGACAACCAATTTTTCTCCCGAGGTTCATATGCTTGCCGGCACACTAGTCCTCGTTGTGTCGACCAACACTTGGTGGTTCAGCGGCTAAGAAGTGTTGCACGGACCTCGTCCACACAATTGGACACCACAAGAACCTACCCACAAGTGAGGTAACTCAATGACACGAGCAATCCACTAGAGTTACCTTTCGGTGCTCCACCGGGGAAGGCACAAAACCCCTCATAATCACCGCGATCGGAGCCAGAGACAAACACCAACCTTCGCTCAATGATCCTTGCTGCTCCAAGCCATCTAGGTGGTGGCAACCACCAAGAGAAATAAGTGAATCCCGCAGCGAAACACAAATACCAAGTGCCTCTAGATGCAATCACTCAAGCAAAGCACTTGGATTCTCTCCCAATCTCACAAAGATGATGGATCAATGATAAAGATAAGTGGGAGGGCTTTGGTTAAGCTCACAAGGTTGCTATGTCAATGCAAATGGCCAAGAGAGTAAGCTTGAGCTGGCCATAGGGCTTAAATAGAAGCCTCCACGAAATAGAGCCATTGGATCCTCAATCTACTGAAAATCGGGGCGACGCGCTGCTTCGAAGTGACCGGACGTAGGACCTCAGCGTCCGGTCGTTTCCAGTAAGGTTCCATTCGCGACCAGACGTGTCTAGTTGATAACGACCGAACGCAGGACCCCAGCGTTCGATCACTTCCAGTAAGCATCCAGAGACAATTTTTCATGATCAGACGCGTCCAGTTACCCCTAACCAGACTCACCCAGCGTCCGGTCAGTCACCCTCTTCTCTGTGTGTTGCCACGTCAGTAGGACCAGACGCACCCCGTCAGCATCCGGTCATGAAGTGACCCAGCATCCGGTCGAATACCAACGCCAGCGTCTTCACTGCTTCCACTGACCGGACGCTCCGGTCTAGTTGAGGGCAGCGTCCGGTACACTCTATGAAAACCTATCTTTTCTGTACAGGGCGCCGGTGGCACCGTCGAACTGTCTGCACTCTATGGGCGGACACTCCGCCGGTGAAGTTTCTTACCCTTGCTCCCAAGTGCTAAACACAATGTGTATCACCTTTGTGCATATATGTTAGCATATTTTCACAAATATTTTCAAGGGTGTTAGAACTCCACTAGATCCTAAATACATATGCAATGAGTTAGAGCATCTAGTGGCACTTTGATAACCATATTTCGATATGAGTTTCACCCCTCTTAATAGTACGGCTATTGATCCTAAATGTGATCACACTTGCTAAGTGTCTCGATCACTAAACAGAAAAGCTCCTATCAATTTCACCTTTACCTTGAGCTTTTTGTTTCTCTCTTACCCCTTTTCCAAGTCCAAGCACTTGATCATCACCATAGCATTACCATCATCAAGTTATGATCTTCATTTGCTTCATCACTTAGAATGTGCCACCTATCTCATAATCACTTTGATAAACTAGGTTAGCACTTAGGGTTTCATCAATTTACCAAAACCAAACTAGAGCTTTCATGGTTACACTGAGAGCTCGAGGCCATCACTAGAAAAGTCCAGTGATGCGCACCGGAGCATTCAGTGACTCTATTCAAATTTCCAAGTGAACAATGCACCCTAACTTTCTGCTGTGGGTTAGTGGGCAACCGCTAATAAAATTGGTGGCATACCCTAGCCTCGGGTAACTCCCTTACACGCACCTCTTTCTGTGCTAAAAATCAGCACTAAGCCCAAAATTCACAAGCATCTTAAATCCGCTAACTCCAATATGTTTCCATGTGAGCATCTTCACCTTAGGCACTGAGTTAGCTTTTCAAAAATATTTTTCACTTACATCTCACCATGTCACTAGGCCCGATGCATATGCAAAGTTAGTTCACACCTAGTGGCACTTAGATAATTGTTAAGCATTCTCCTCTTAATAGTATGTCTATCTGTCCTAAACCAGACCACACACTATATTGTGTCTTGGTCGGCTAAAGTAAAGCCCTAACATATACCTTTGTCTTCTGTC